TAAACTAATAACTATTATTTTTTTCTTTGAACACGGATATGGCAGATTCATCCGGTACCCTCCTCCTACCACGGTCCCCCTCCTACACAAGGTGGTGATCGAGTCAGCCGTCTACCGGGAAAAAGGGTAGGCGTGCTACACGGTTGAGGAGTTGAATATCGATCCACAGCTCCGATCGGAAATTGCCTATCCAGTTTGACATGCAAGCCGGTAGAGCCATCGGAGAGCACGGTGCTAGATTCACTAACTATGTGGCCTTGCTTGGGAGAAGCAAGGTTAGTATTCTTATTGAGGATTGGGACCATGTTCCGGAGACACCGAAGAACCGAGATTTGGCGAGTATCCTGGTACCTACTCTTACTTGAGCATTTAACATGTATATATATTTAACTTTTTTTGGGAACTTCATGTTATTTTTATTGTGTAGGTCACATATGATGTCCCTAACACCACTTTGTTGAGGACAAAGTGGATCTCATATGCTCGGGGAACACTTGGAGAGGTTTTAAGAGTGATCTCGACCAGTCGATACATATATGGGGCATTGAGCAACAAGAACCCATGTGACCGATGATCGGTTTTTGGATGAGGAGACATGGCGAGCATTTCGGACTCAGCGATTAGACCCTAGGTTTCGGGTTAGCACATTTGTCATTTGTTTGCAGTAATTTTTTTTAAATAGAGGTTTTAAATTTGGTATTTAACATGGAATGCAACAGACCAAGAGGCGGAAGGCACGGGATATTCGGAGGAAGAATATCCACCCCCACGAGTTGTCTCGTGGGGGTTATGAGAAATTGGAGGAGAAGATGATGAAGGAGACTTCTTCAAGTCTACCTTCGGATGACTCCGTTGTGAGTTCCGTCACCCGCCCTTCACGCCATGATAAATGGAAGAGAGCTCGCTGAACTCATCAGGGAATTACTTATCCGAGCAAACTAATGTTGTTGCTCAACGTATTGTAAGTAGCATATCCTAAACTAATTATATATGTTATACTACAATAGGCATTTGTATTTGCTAAAAAATCATTCGTTTGTGTTGTAGGATGAGTTGGTTGAGCGGAGCATTCGGGGATCATTCCACCCACATGGCCGTCGGGATATATTGGCAATGGCCATTGGTACCCCGGAGCATCCCGGACGTGTTCGTGGTGCTCGGACGAGGGTGGGCATCGGACGAGTACTTTGGTGCCCCACCCGTGGCAACTCCTTCTTTGAGGCAGACTGAATGAGCAAGAGTTTGAGTCCCTCAAACAACAAATTAGGAAGGAGATTCGAGATGAGGTGTACTCGACTTGAAGGCGAGTTATTGAGCTCAATGCGAGCGGAGTTGGCATCTTTGTCATCTCAACCTTCCGTCCCCGCACGAGCGGCATCCCCGATTCATGTCGGCACAAAGGAGAGTTGTGATGCTCCCGATAGAGGGGCGAGAGGTTGCTCCTACCGACACCGCTGACCGTCGGTTATATGTTGCGGGTCCTCCCGAGCATTTGGTGGCATACGGTACGTATTATATCTTTGACATGTATTTGGTACAATGTTACGCATTATATAGTCTAAAATATTTTATCCTTTGTTTACCTTAGGGAAAATGTATGCATTGGGGTCAATCATCCACCACCGAGTATTGGAGATGATATGATCGAGTGGTGGTTGTAGATGTCCGGGATGTTGCTCGCCTCAATCCCTATTCCCACCGAAGAGGTTCAAACAAGTGGGACAGACACCTGGTCATTTTATCTTATGGTCGGTTTCATTAACAAGACCCATCCCAACACATGCACAGGTTGATTTATGCATTGAACGATAGTACTTATTATTTTTTGATAGGTTGATGTATATTAATGTTATTGATTTTTGGTACTTGTATAGGAAGAGGCTGAAAAAGCAAAGGAAGTTGTGCATGAATCACCACCACCACCATCTCGCTTACAACGACTCGGTAGCCGGCAGCGACTATCGGGACCACTCCCATACAGTTAGATATGCCACCCGAAGTCGTATGCGGGACCAAGACGATCCCTTTTTTCTTACTCCAACGGGATATTTTTGATATTCTCACTGGTATCGATATGCTATGTTTATCGGTGTTGCAGCTTTGGGAATTGTAAGTATATTTACATATTTTTTATATTCTCACTTGGTACATTATTTTATAACTTTATTTATTTTCAATGTTGAAGGTATTTACATCGTTTGTGTGTTGAGAGGAAGATCCGCTATCTCTATGGATTTGTTGACCTCGTTGCCATTCGATCCAGTTGGGAATAAAGTCGAAGAGGTGCAAACGTACTTAATAGAGGCATTTCAAAATGGGGGCAAAGAAGTCTACTTAGCACCTTACTTGCATCGGTAAGTATACATCTTGTAAATTAATGCACATTTATGTAAAACTGAAATTTTACTAATATTATTGCAACGTGCAGGGGTCATTGGCAGCTCATAATAATTGTTCCTCGCCAATTTCTTGTGATTCTCTTGTGTTCATTACACAAGAAACCAAATGATTTGGATATTAGAAAGCACATAGACGCGTAAGTTTGGTTGTTTTTAATTGTTGTATCATATGTGCCCTACTTACACCAAAATTATTTGTCCTTTTGTAGAGCTTTGGAAGCTCACCTAAGGTTGCAAGGTCTTCCATCTCATGCTAGAAAGAAGTTGACGTATATTGCACCAAAGGTGACCAAACACCTCTTATCGTTGTTCAATTTGTCATTTAAAGTTAATCTGACATGTATTTAACTTGTAGTGTCCACGCCAACCGGAAGCTATGAGTGCGGGTTTTATGTGATGAAGCACATGCACACCATTGTAGCCAAAAATATTCTTGACACGTGGAGGGAGGTAAATATACTATAATTAAGTCAAATATGCCAATTATGTAAATGATTTCTAAATCGAAATGTTTTAATATGTAGGAATTTACAGACTCATCTCCAATGAAGATTGAAGTCTTAGACGATATCGAGAAGCGATGGGCTTCTTTCCTTTTAAGCATTCAATCTTCATAGGAAATTTAACTTGTAACAATTTAGATAGAATTGATTTAAGTTAGGAAATTTACATTCGTTTAAGTAAATGAACTGTCTGGAACTGGATCTGTCGTACATATATTCATTTCAATGTGTTTCATATGTACATATCACTGCTGCAATCGAATCATGCATCGTCTTGGATATATATCCGTAGCAAATTTATATATGAACTGTGCATATCATGCATGCTTGGATCTGTGGTTATTTGTGCTGGAACTGTGATGAATAGGCGAGTCTACTCGAAGAAAGGTAGCATCCGTAAATAAAATGCGAGTATTTTAAAAAAAAATAACACTTTCTACGTCGGTTATGTCATTACCCGACGTAGAAAGTACTTTCTACGTCGGGTAATGGCATAACCGAGCGTAGAAAGTGTAACATTTTATGTCGGTTATAGGCATAGCAGACATTGATAACACATACAATAACTGATTACGTTAACTAGATATAGATACTTGGGGTTATAGAAAGTTAGAAAGTAAGACTTTCTATGTCGGTTATAAGTGTTAACCGACATAGAAAGTATTATGACAGTCAGAATCAATTATGATCGATCAGATTAGCTTCATGACCGATCAGAACCGGTTATGACCGATCAGAATAGCTCATACAAAATAAGATTTTCTACGTCGGTTCCTCGACTAGCAGAGCGTAGAAAGTCTTTTCGTGACCGATCAAAACCAGTTATGATCGATCAGAATAGCTCTATGACCGATCATAACCAGTTTGACCGATCATAATAGCTCAAAGAAAGTAGGGCTTTTACGTCGGTTCTTATTAGCAGACGTAGAAAGTCTTACTTTCTACGTCGATTATTAAGAGCTGACGTAGAAAGCCTTACTTTCTATGACCCCGTATCTATGTCACCGCTTTAACCGACGTCGAAAGCCCATTTTAACCGATGTAAAAAACCTTTTACTGCAGTAGTGTATACATTTAATCTATAATTTCCTATAATGATATAATAATAATAATAATAATAATAATAATAATAATAATAATAATAATAATAATAATAATAATAATAATAAATATATAAATATAAATTTAAAAGCTTTATTAATATTATATTATTATAATGATATAATATATATATATATATATATATATATATAATTATTAATATTATATTATTAAAATAGGTTATAGGATGAATATTTATCGAAAGATATGAATGCCAATTTATTATTTTGACATTGTGGGATTGATATTTTCACACTGAATTCAACCCTGCAACAACAAAAATATTAGTATAATAATATATTTCATTATTTAATATATATATATATATATATATATATATATATATATATGGAGGATGTATTTTTAAAATATAAAAAATAATAAAAATTTTAAAAAACTTTTTATTTTTAAATATAATAAATTTTTCTATTTTTAAATTTTTGTTAAAAATAATTAAAAAAGTAACTTTTTTAATTTTTAAAAAACTTAAATATAAAATTTATAATAAAATATTTATTTTTATTCTTATTTAAATAATTTTTTTTAATTTTAAATAATTTTTTTATTTTTAAAAATTTAAATATAAAATTTATAATAAAATATTTATTTTTATTTTTAATCAACTAATGAATAACAACCCCTCAGAAGATATGCTGTAAGATTTTGGCATCGTTTTTCCAACTTTCCCCTTATTTGTTTCTTAATTAATTTTCCGTCCGCAGAACCAAACAGAGCGTAAATAAACATCCATCTTATATTTTATTTTCTTTTAAATATCTTGATATAATATTATTTATATATATATATATATATATATATATATATATATATATATATATATATATATATATATATATATATATATATATATATATATATATATTAGTGATTGGTAAGATGTATAAGGTGTATATATATCATCCATCTATTTCTTTTGTCCTTTGAAAGTTTAAGACGAGTGAAAAGCGCGGGAACATAACGAAGTTTTGTGAGTGCAATGGATCTTGAACAGCAACCATTGAAGCTTCACTTCATTCCTTACCTAGCACCGGGCCATCTCATACCTCTCTGCAGCATAGCCACGCTCTTTGCCGCACGTGGGCACCATGTCACCGTCATCACCACTCCCTCCTACGCCCAAATCCTTCGCAAATCCAGCCCCTCTCTCCACCTTCACGTCGTCGACTTCCCCGCCCGAGAAGCCGGCCTCCCCGACGGCGTCGAAATCATGTCCGCCTCCACTGACCTAGAAAGCGCCTCAAAGTTCCACCGCGCCACCAGGCTCCTCCGCGTCCCCATTGCCCGCTTCTTGGAGCAGCACCCACCCGATTGCGTCGTCGCCGACTTCCTCTTCTACTGGGTCCATGACTTGGCGAACAGTCTCCGCATCCCAAGACTCGCCTTCAACGGCTTCTCCCTATTCACCGTTGCCGCCATGGAGTCCGTCAAATCACACCCAGAAATTCACTCCGACGCCGGCCCCTTCGTCATCCCCGATTTTCCTCAGCACATCACCGTGAGCTCTAGACCACCTAAGACGGCCACTGCCTTCTTGGAGAGGCTTCTAGGAACCGAGATCAAGAGCGACGGTCTCATCGTGAACAACTTCGTGGAACTTGAGGGAGAAGAGTACATCCAGCACTACGAGAAAACCTCGGGCCACAAGGCCTGGCATCTCGGGCCAGCCTGTCTGGTCACAAAAAGTGGCGACGACAGGGGCGAGAAGAGCGTGGTGAGCGAGAACGAGTGTTTGAGTTGGATGAACTCGAAGCAGGCGAAGTCGGTCGTGTATGTATGCTTCGGGAGCATGTGTCATTTTCCGGATAAACAGCTTTACGAGATAGCGTGCGGGTTGGAACAAGCGGCGCATGGTTTCGTGTGGGTGGTTCCGGAGAAGAAGGGGAAGGAGAATGAGAGCGAGGAGGAGAAGGAGAAGTGGCTTCCAAAGGGGTTTGAAGAGAGGAATGCAGAGAGGGGGTTGATTATCAGGGGCTGGGCCCCCCAGCTGCTTATCCTGGGTCACGCCGCTGTGGGTTGCTTCCTCACGCACTGCGGTTGGAACTCTACCTTGGAGGCCGTTACAGCTGGAGTTCCGATGGTGACGTGGCCGGTGGCAGGGGATCAGTTCTACAACGAGAGGCTGGTGACTGAGGTGCGTGGGATCGGGGTGGAGGTGGGGGCGACTGAGTGGAAAGATGTTGGGTATGGGGAGAGGGAGAAGGTGGTGAGCAGAGATAGCATCGAGAAGGCTGTGAGGAGGTTGATGGACGGCGGTGATGAAGCTGAGGAATTCAGACGCCGTGCGCAAGAGTTTGGCCATAAGGCTATGCGGGCTCTTCAGGAAGGAGGCTCCTCCCACAACAATTTAACTGCCCTCATTGCTCATCTCACCCGCTCCAGAGACGCACGCTAATTTAGTATTTGCCTTGGGAAAATGTTTGGTTGAATGGATGGATAGCTTTGTTCTAGTAAGTGTCTTTCAAGTGAGGTTCATTTTAGTAAGTACACCGCAGTACTTCTGCTCACCACACTAAACTCATCTGTCTATCTAGTTATTAGCCAAAGTCTTATCATTATTAGTTGTCACAATAAGAGGGGAAGAATTCATCTAATTTTATCTTCGATTACACTCTTCTTGTTTAATCCTTGAGCTTCCTTGATAGAACATCCGTGACATGATTCTTGTTTAAAATAATTATGTTCCTTGACTTTTTGACCAAAGGTTAAAAATATTTGGATTTTATCAAATTTTTTTAAAATTATCAAACCGGTTAAATTGTGTTACACGATTTTTATATTAAAAGAATTAAACTCGTATTTTTTTATAACAAATTCAACATTATTTCTTATTTTTATAAAACCAAAGAGGTACTACTACTTTAGTTATATTTATACATAACTAAAGACTTTGGCTTTGTTTTTTAAATAATTAAATTAATTTTATTAAATACATATATTATTTAAAAATTAGTAAATTATTTATTATTATATATTTATATTATACAAAATTATATTATTTATTTATTTTATTTATATCAATTATTATATTATATAAATTTATATAAATAAAAAAAATAGATTTTTAAAATTTAAATTATGTTATATTATTTATTTTAAAATTAATAATTTATATTTTTTATAGTTTTTTAACAATTAAATTAATGTTTTTAGATAAATATATTATTTAAAATTTTTATAATTTATTTATTTTTTATATAATTATATATTTATTTATATACATTTTAGAAGTTATAAAATATTATATTAATTATTATTTTATATAAAAGCAGTATATAAATAATAAAGGTAATATATATATACACAATAATATTATTATTATAAAATTAAATAATTTATGTTTTTAAATAACATATTTATTTAAAATATTATATTAATTATTTATTTTATATCAATTTTTTAAAATAATATATTTATCTAAATAATATTTATTATTAATTTTGAAATAAATAATATAACATAATTTAAAGATAAAGATTAATTTATTAATATATTTATTTTTTATTTAAAATATTTTATCTATTTATATTATTTATAAAATTTATATCAAATAATAACTGATATAATAGAATAAATAATTAATATAATATTTTATAATATAAATATGTAATAATAAATAAATTATTAGTTTTATTTAATAAATATAATTTAATTATTAAAAAACATTAAAATCGTATTAATAGAACTTTAATTATGTATGACATAATTAAAGTTCTACTACGAAACTTGATTTTATATAAAAAAAAAATTAGGTGAAATTTATTACAGAGAACATAATTTTAATTATTTTATTACAAAATTGATAACATTACGCCCATTTATTTATTTAAAACCCTAATTCCTCTTTCATTCTTCAAAACCTTGAAACCAAGACAAATTGGAGATCAAGCAGAACTGCTTTGATCCATTCTAAATTGTAACACCACATTTGATTCATTCTATAATAATTGATCCTTGGAGTTTTAACTCTGTATACTTTGGTTCCAATCAAATTTTTATTATCATACTATCATACTATTTTTATTATCAATCAAATTAGTAATTTGGTTCCAATTTACAAACTTAAAGACCAATTTAACATGTGTCAGCCTCTTTATTTTTTTCTTCAATATTTTATAAATTAATCTTGAAAGAGGAAAAAAATAATCAGAAAGTTTCCCCGAAGTAATAACATTAATATTTTTACACCATTAGACAACTAAAATAAAAATAAGAAAAAAATCACAATTATTATCTAATAATAATAAAATAATATTGTATACATTTTTTTAACACACATATTACTCTTTCATCCGTAAATATACTTATATTTTTTAAATAAAAACTTAAATCAAACCTCACATCAATCTATTTCAAATATAAAAAAAGAGTTAAATATAAATTATTTTTAATTAAAATATTATTAATTTTAAGTTCATTGTATAGTTATTATTATATAATACTATCATTCTTGATTATCTAATATTTTATAAAAAAATTTAAGATAAATTATTCTAATTAACCAAATATAATACAAGTCCTCACGTGTAATATCATAAACATTACTTGAAGATGAAAAAATAAATATCAATTTTAATCATACAAAATTATAATTAAAATATTTTTGAATATCAAATTAAAATTTAAATATTATTATATAGAAGTTAAAATAAACATGTAAATATTTATTTAATTTTAGGGTTTCAATTATATATTTAATTACATATATAAATTTAAATATTTATTTGTAAAATAAATTACGTTATCAAAATTATATAAATAAATTACTTTAAATATTAATTTTATATTTAAGTATTATAAAATAAAACATCAAAATTAGAAATAGCGAAGAAATAAATTAGTGGTGAGAATTTGTTTCATTATACTATTTTCCAACATATTAATATTTAAAAAAAAAAGAATAACTCATAATCTTTGAATTTTTGTAGGGTTTAATTTAAATATCTAAAGTTAATTTCTCTTTTTTAGTCTTCTAACATATACTATTATTATCACTTAACTTTATATAAAAAAAAATATAAATAATCAAATGAGTTTTAAGAATTCAAACGAAATTTTAAATAAATTTGAGGGACTTTATTTGAGTTTTATTTAATTTTACAAATTAATACAAAGCTAAACATAGATGGCCCTCGAGGTTTTATTCTCTATGTTATCTTTAATTTATAGAATAAAATTATAAAATAAAAATTTATATTAAATTGTTTGAAATTTTAATTTTTTTTATCTAACTCATTTACTATTTTCATAATACACGCATTAAAATGTAAAATGTGCTTAAAACCAATAAATTAATATTAAAATTTACATTAATACTACAATTTTTATCCGTTGGTATGATTAAAAGCTCATTGTATTTGAAGTATAACTTATTTTAATAACATTGATACTAGAGGACTTCATTATAATTTGGTTTTTTAAAAATTTTATTGGGTTGAAGGGCAATGTTTATAAATTATCATTTGGGGAAATAATAATGATAGCAAAATAGAACATTCTAACCACATAAATGAGGTTGACATACTTATTAACTAATTATAGATTAAAATACTTATTAACTAATTATAGATTAAAAATAATGTAAAGAATAAAAAAGTAAGTTTTTCTTATTTTATAGAAGTAATAAAAATTGATAAATTTAGCTAAAATAAATAAGGAGTATTAATAATTTAGTTTAAATTTGATTTGAGAATAAAAAGTCTACTAGTATTTTCTCAAAAAAAATTTTTTTTTTAAATACAGGCTTACAAATAGGTACTTGTAAAATCTTAAATTATCACTACAAAAAAACATATTATCTACAAAATATTACCTACGGATAAAAATTTGTAGGTAAATTGTATATTATATACAAATATTACCTACGGATAATAATCTGTAGGTAAAGTGTACGTTACATACGGATATTATCTATAGAATTCTATCCGTGGGTAAATATCTATTACCTACGGATATTTTTCGTAAGTAATGTCATCCGTGGGTAATTTTGTAGGTAATTACCTATGAAATTATTATCCAGTAGGTAAATTATATCAAATTAAAATACATTATATGTAAGTTATCCATTACCTACGGATATTATCCGTAGGTAATGTCGTTCGTAGGTAATTACGTAAGTAATTATCTACGGAATTACTATCCGTAGGTAAATTATATCAAATTAAAAAAATTGTAATCGTAAGATTCGAACCCAATACCTTAGAGTGGAAAATCGATACTCCAACCATTAAATATATAAATATATGAATATATAAATATATGAATATATAAATATACAAATATATAAATATATCAAAATATAAATATATAAATATATCAAATATAAATATATTTTATTTGTAAGTTATTATCAGAATATCCTAATAGTTTAGTGGTTGGAGTATCGACCTCCGACTCTAAGATATTGGGTTCAATTCTGTCGATGACAATTTTCTTAATAAAAATATAAAGCGCAGGAAATAAAAATATTTTGTTTAAGGGAGTGTATTATCTACCACCGAATTACATAAATATATCAAATATAAATTATCAGAATATCCTAATACTCTAAGGTACTGAGTTTGATTCTTGGTAGTGATAATTTTTTTAATAAAAATATAATATAAAGGGGAGGAAATAAAAATATTTTGTTTAAGCGAGTGTATTACCTACGAACGGTAATTTTATAGGTAAATTACCTACCACCGAAGTTACATACGGATTTCCTACGAAAAAAATTTGTAGATAAAATGACATTATTTTTGTCATTACCTACAAATTTTGGCCGTAGATAATAGATATTTTTTTGTAGTATTTAAATAACAAGATACTTTTGTTTGGAAAAAAAATTGTAGATAATTATTTTTTAATAAAAATTGAAAATATTTTATGATAAAATAAATAATTTGAATAGAAAAATTAAATTCTAACCTAATATTTTGATTACTGAGGTAAGAAATTGAAATATTACATATTTTTACTTTTTAAAATTTATATATTTTATTTTCATATTTTTTTATTTAAATATTTTTATTTATTTTAATTTGGATGGGCTCATTATAAATAATTTTATTTAATTTAACTTATCCTAAACAACTTAATCTAATTCGAATGAGATAAATACGATCTGTCCTCCGGCTACTTCGGCGGTACAACGAAATCAGAGATATGTTTGTACCTGATATAATCCTTCGTAAATTTGAAAAATATATTTTGAGAACCCGACGTAATAAATATAATTATTAGATAACTATTTAATAATATATATATATATATATTAATTAATTAATTAAAATCGATTGTACCTATAAATTATTTGTTTATATATTATTCTCTTTGATTTAGATAAAAAGTAATTTATATATATTATTTTTTTAATTTATCAATATATTTTTTAAGAATAATAATATAAAATTT